TCACGCACATTCGCACAAATCTTTGGACATGACATTCACCCAAAATCAAGCTTTTCACGGCTTCATCATGGGGAACAGAAATTCTACCTTCACCTTTGTCTCTTAAGAAGAGAATGTCATCAGCCATTCTATAACGTGGAAAGCTTTCAGGATTCTTTTGCGAAGTCCGAATTATTGGTCCCCAAATTGCATCCTTGGCATGTCCAGATCTTACCTTCTCTTTGAGTTCATTTCCTATGTCGGGATAGGTAACAATTATTCCAAAGAAAACAGATCGTCGAAAGAGTGTGCCGGTCACTACATTATACTTACCTTTGATAGTCTTGAGCTCGAAGTCAAACGTGCCAATGATTGCAGACCATCGGGCTAACTTGTCAGACAACCATCGTAGCGTCTTGAGCCACTTCAGCGTTTCATGGTCTGAGTAGACCTTGAAGTGCCATCCAAGCAAATAGTACTTCCACGTAGTTAGCGCCTCTAGGAGTGCATATAGCTCCCTCTCGTATGTCTAATGAGGGTAGGCGTCTAGACATGAATCTATAGCCCTTCCCGTCATCTTGCTGATACACCGTCCCAATCCCATACTGGTGGTGACAATGACAAGCAACGACGGGTCAAAAATCTTCAAGAGGGTAGTGGGTCTAAGCATACGTCAATTTCTTGAATGCGTACTTACAATCTTTGTCCCACAACCAAACTGTTTCTTTTTTCAACAATTTCCTCATAGGCGCGACTATGACGGAGAAGTTCCTAACAAACTTCTTATAATGGATAGCCAATCCAAAAAAAGAGTGAAGTTCAGTTAGTGTCTTGGGTCTGGGCCAATCTCTAATCGGAACAATTTTCTCTTCCGACCTACATGTCTGAGGTACAATGCTTCAGACTTATCGAATTCTGATTTCTTAGGATTCACTTTGAAATTCCCTTCTCTCAACTTTTGGATGACCATTCGTAGGTGTTTCTCCTGGTCCTCGAACGTACACAGGATGCGTTTAAAAATGATACATGCCGAATGCGAGAAGTTAGGAAAAGCACAAAAGCAAGATCAGCCTGGCGACGAGCTGTTACAACACAGCACTGCGATCCCAAAAAATGTACACAGGATGCGTCCTTACAAAAGTCCAATGAGAGCACGAGGAACCATGATAGTTTCAAAAAGACGACTGACACAGAAGCCAACGTTAGTTGAAGAAGCACAATAGATGTTTGGTCGACCAGTCCCAACAAAAAGCAACAAGTAGAATGATGTAATGATCACGAATCATTCGACACTGGGGCGATATGGAAGGAGAGCCTGACTAGAGACTCACGACGACGATGATCCACCGAATCGCAAGCTGAACAGATGTCGGTAATGAGTTGAACCGTTGCATTGTTGTCTGACCCAGTTACCGGAGGCCATGTTTGTGTGAGCAAGGATTCTGGTGACTCCGTTGGAGCTGCCTAGCATGCTATTGATACAATTGTTCGAAGCAGAGGTAACACAAATGTCAATTGAGCATCTGTATTCTTAGCCAGGGCAGGAGTATACTCCCTGTGTCACGACGGGTTGGTGCAGCCCTAAGCGCTGTCATCTATGGAGTCGGTTGTGTGGGGCCGACAATTACTGTCGTCACCGCAAACTTCGGTCATCGGGAATTCGATTCCAACCCAAGCAACGAAGAGGACAGTAACCTGCCACCGACACAGAAGATGAGCCAGATACATCACGCGACAGGTCCAACGCAACAGCCCCACAAAGAGTCCAAATGTGTGCACAATGTTAAGAAGCGAAGCGAAGCGAGGCCCACAATCACCCCAACCCACGGCGGGCAGGTTAAGAAGGCCCAACGCAAGCCCTTACAGAAGTCATCATCACAATCCCGCCATCAGGAAAACACCGGACAACACAAATGCTCACGCCCTGACAGTTCACTACCAACCAAACAAAGCGAGCAAGGGCCTAGCTGCACTACTCACCATCCGCCAACAACGAGCATGCATCAGGACGGATTGCATATCCAGACTTTGGCGGATGGTGAGCACCGCAACGAAGACGCACCTTCACCAGGAAGACAACCAGGTAAAAATGCCGGACCACCCGTCAACTTTTCTGCCTTCTTGTTTTTTCAGCCCTCCAAGCTCGAGAGAGGGCAGACACCGAGTCACAACAGAGGAAAGCAGTCCAGCAGAGGCCACGTCAGACCCACCGGGCCCAAAACCAGACTAAATGCAGCCCAACAGGACCTGAGCATGCATCGAGACAGATTGCATATCCAGATTCATTCGAAATTTTGGCGGATGGCGAGCAGCGCAACGAAGACACACCTTCACCAGGAAGACAACCACGTAAAACCGCTGGACCACCCATCAACTTTTGCGACCTTTTTTTTTTCCAGCTATCCAAGCTCGAGCGAGGGCAGACACCGCGTCATGACAGAGGAAAGGGGCCCGGCAGAAAACACGTCCAATGCACCAGGGCCCAAAACCAGACCAAATGCAGGCCAACGGAAGGACCCATAGGGGCGGCTGAATCTTGACAAAGAACACCCTCACACCAACGGGCCCCCATCGAAACAGTAAGCGAACCGCAGACGAAGCCAAACCCACCATTTTGAACACTAAACAAACAACGAACCTCCCCCACGAACACAGGCACATTAAAGAACACATTAAAGCGCAATCCCCCCCCACCCCCCAAAGAGCATCCGGCCTCATATCGCAACCACATCCATCCAAAGAGCCACCCACACCCCCACAGAACGCACATGCCCCAGCGAACGGGGAAATGCATGCACCTGCTACGCTGTGAGACTGCGCACCTTCCCCAGAAAGACGACCAGGTAAAACCGTTGGACCACCCCTCAAATTTTGCGACTTTCTTTTTCTAGATCACCAAGCTCGAGCGAGGGCAGACACCGCACCATGACAAAGGAAAGCGGCCCAGCAGAAAACATGTCAGATGCACCTGGGCCCAAAACGAGACCAAATGCAGGCCAACGGAAGGACCCATAGGGGCAGCTGAATCTAGACAAAGAACACCCCCACACCAATGGGCCCGCATCGAAACACTAAGCGAACCGCAGAGGACGCCGAACTCGCCATTCCGAACTCTAAACAAACAACGAACCCGGGCCCAAAACCAGACAAATGCAGGCTGAATCTAGACAAAGAACACCCCCACACCAACGGGCCCCCATCGAAACACTAAGCGAACCACAGAGGACGCCGGCCCCGCCATTCCGAACTGTAAACAAACAACGAACCTCGCCCAAGAACACAGCCACATGAAAGCACACTAAAGAAAGCCCCCCCCCCCCCAAACAGCATCGGTCCTCCGCACATGCATCGCGCCTCATATCGAGACCACATCCATCCAAAAAAACAACGCCGTGACACTGCACAAACACCACACACCACAAATCATGGCGAAATCGCTAGATAGCGGAGAAATCAACGACAGCAACGCAACACAAAGACGAGCGAAGAGCAAAGAGGGCACACACGCGTCGACACAACAGCACTCCAAAAAGCCGACGTGCCGCAAAACCAGAGCTCAAAAAACGGTTAAGAAATCAGGTTTCTGGCAACACCAGCCTCGAAGATCAGAATCGTATGGCCAAAGCGCGAAAGAAAAGAACGTGTCAGAGCACTGGCCCATAGCCAGGTCCAAAGGAGAGCCATGTCTGCCCCTCAGAATGCTGCACAATACACCTGTTGTCTTCAGAGGCTAATTCCACAGCCTGAGGGAACAGAAAATCCAACAATAATCAATTTAAAATAAAGATATCAACTCCTATGGGAACAACACAATTAGTATTGCGGATTTCCAATTACGTTCTCCTAGTTTTCAGTCAATTAAAATATCCTATTCTAGACTGCTGACAATGACTCGTCCAGATACTTCTTTCTTCAATGAGCGTCCATACCTGGCGTGCAATCTGGCGTTGGCACTACAGCTCTGGCTGTACCGCCCGCCTGATCACACTGCATGCAAGGCTATCTCACACCAAGCCTTCCTCCAATGCCACGTCAGCAAAGGGCTCACTCCACGTCAGTCACAGGCCCTTGCCACATCAGCATTGGCTGCATGCACACCACGTCAGCAATAACTGGTGCCACATCAGCATCAAGAAGGTGCCACGTCAGCAATAGGCAGGTTCCAAATCAACAATCTTCCCTGCCAGTCTCCCTCCTCTGCCATGTCAACACTCCTCTTCTGCCACATCTACACTTCTCTTCTTCCATGTGGCAAAATCAAGTGTCTCACCACTCATCAACTTTTCCAGGTTATCAAATGGCAAGTCACTGTAGTGCACCACTGTAGAACATCACCGTAGCGTGTTACTCTAGTGCGTCAGTGCCACGGCACCATCATCATCACCATTGCCGTCGCCATCAGCAGTATTGCGAGGTGAGTGGAGACTGCTCCGATACCAAATTGCAATGAAGCCAGTCTTCTTGAGAAGCCAATCAGCATTGTCACATACATCTGAACCCAGCGGTCAACATGAAGTCTCCAAATAATTGCAAGCCCATGTCATCATTGATTGCACATGTCATGAGCAGCGAACCATCATAGAAGAGCATTGCAGAATAGATGGAGGAGAGAAGAGGCATAGAGGAGGAGGAGAAGACTTACATTAAAAAAAAACAATAATACATGTATGTCGCTCTCCTCATCCCAATTCCTCTTTGGGCTTCTCCCCTATCGCCACCTCAGCAATGCATGCTCTCCTCCGACGTCCACTGACATAGTCACCGTGCAGCTCTCAGCAGAGCGCCCATCCTCCTTCCGCAGTCAACATCAAGCTATGGAGGAGAGAGAGAGAGAGAGAGAGAGAGAGAGAGAGAGAGAGAGAGAGAGAGAGAGAGAGAGAGAGAGAGAGAGAGAGAGAGAGAGAGAGAGAGAGAGAGAGAGAGAGGAGTGGGGGGGGCTGGGGGGGTATAATTTTCAGAAAAGGGCAAATACAAAGGAGAATTGAGGAATCATTAGCAACTGAGAGAAAATAAATACAAACCTCTGAAGTTTTGGATGGAACGAAGCCAAGAAGTACACCTGCGCTGATAGCCATTGCCGTCACAGGTCCACCCTGTAGCATACGCACACAGTTGAGAGTGTGTTTCATCTATTTATTTCTGACCACACATCCAGATTTTCCAGCATTCAAACAAATCATCCTCGGCGTTTGATTCATCCCATCTGATGCATACGATATGTGGATCAACACGGCCCACTCTTCAGAGAGAGGGGAGCGAGTAAGCATGAAAAAGTGGCTTGGCCGCTTGCCAGCACAGTCATAGTTTGTTTCTTTATGAGCTGTAATTCCTCAACGACTGAGTCTGCAAATTTACTTTTCTGACATTCTGAGTCTTCTCCGTTTTCTGCAAAATTACAAGGTAAAACAAAGGAGCACTAATACCACTTCACAACTTAACAAGATAGTTGCCAATGAATTGAAATTTCAAATTTCAAATTTGAAAGTCTTTTGTAGTTTTTTTTTGAGCTCATGACTTGTCTATTGAAAATCATGGATATCTGTTGTCTTAACTTGTCTACCATTTGTTTTACCCAACATCCGGATGCTGAGTGTGTCGTATCTTTTCCGTTGTTTCGGATCCTTTTAGCGCGCTGTCTCTGCTGACTGTTCGCAGTCGTCATTGCAGAGAAGCATGCTCTCTAAATCAACCTGCATAGAGAAGGTGCAGGTACTTGCAGTGAAGGACTTTCTTCAGTGCAGGTACTTGCAGTGCAGGACTTTCTTCAGTGCATGTTGACTTACAGCATGCTTCTGTTCTGCAGGTTGATTTATAGTCCGTGTTGACCGACTTCTGCTTACTTGCAGAAACATGCTGCCCTGCATAAATCAACTTGCACAGAAGAGTGCTATAGTATAAAATTCAACCTGCACTGCTGGCCTTCCATACAAACTGACACACATCAATCAAAAAAGAGTGAGCTTCCCTGCCTTTCTCTGATCCACATAGTCTCATAATGATGCCTTGCTGGCAGTTGCTGCTCATCTCATGACACAGAGTAAGAAAAGGAATCACTCAGACCACAGCCAAAAGGAAACCTCCCTGCAGTCCTGTTAAGCCCCCCTTCAGCATCCCTGTAAGCCACTCCTGTTAAGCCCCTCACAGGCTCATACCCCTGTCAAGCCCCCTTCACAGCACCCCTGCTAAGCCCTAACCCCACCAGCACCCTGCTCAGCCCCTCACATCACTCCCGCCCGCTAAGCTCCACCAGGACCCCCCCCCGCTAAGAACCCCCAATCATTTTTGTTAAACCACCACTACCTCCACGTTTTTAGGTCGTTAACGCGGTGGCTGAAAATCGGTGCGCCGCGTGGGTCCATATGCATTTGCATCAGAGCCTCCCCAGAGGGGGCCTAAGACCCCCCTGTGGTACTGGTGGTTTAAGTTCCCCCATCGTCCTGTTAAGCTGTCCCCTATTTCTCCCCCGGCCACCCCTGTGATGCCTCCAAAAATCACAGACCCTGTTACTTGACCTCAGGTCTGACACCTGCCTATGCGGGATGTGGCGATCCCCCCTTTGAAGATAACACCGTTGAAGAAAATATATTTATTATTTAGACTTCGGTCCTATGGGCCCTCTGGAGAAAGAGATGCCGACACGTAATGGAAAACGTGCGGATAGAAGGAGAGGACTTTACAGATATAATCAGACAGCTCCAACTGGACCTCACTGAACAATAGTTGAAAGGGAAAGCACACCTGGACCTCTGCCACAAAGAAAGACATTCAACAGCTAATCACAAGATTCTCAGAAGAATGGCTGGGGGGTGACCAAGGAGGCTGGATAGCCCGCATCAACTGGGAGGGAGGTGACCGACCAGACGAACAGGCGCTGAAACGGGACTAAAGCTTGACGTTCAAGGAATGGACAAAGATCGACACGACGATCCGGATGTGGCCCACAGCAGCATTCCCGGACCTCTTCCCTCCCCATCGCTTTCCTTGGTGGATTTGCAGTGGTAGGGCAGCAGCTAGCATTGGGGCACATCCAAATACTCCTGCCAGTCTGGTGGCTACATGATAGCTGAAGAGGCTGTGGCGATTGCTCACACCCTCTTAGAAGGGGGCTCTTGTCGTGATCTTCAAGGACCGATAAGCCTGCGCGAGGGCTCTCAGGATGATCTGTTGATGATGTCACTTATTGGTCGGCTTCCTTGTTCTTTTATGTTCTTTTCAAGACAAAACCGGGTAACGGCCCCGGGGGGATGTTCATTGTTGATATAGGGACGCCGGACCGGACCCGGTTTCCAGCAGGTGCAGTTCCCCACCAGTAGACTCGAGCACCCAGCGGGGCTGATAGGAGGAGATGCTCATACCACTCCTATCAGAACATCACGGGGTTAAAAACAAAAACGAAAAAACAAAAAAAGAAGGGTCTGCCACACCTACCTGGTGATCAATATGAGCGCCGATTGGGCAGATTCGATACGGAGACGCCACAACACGGATCGCTGTTGCACCGTCAGCACTTGCAAGATTGGCCATCTTGGCCACTTGTGAGCACAGAAGTTCTAGCTGTAGCACCGAAACCACCCAACCCATATGGATAAAAAACCCAGTAAGTGAACGTCATCCACAAAGCAGATGACCAATCAAGAACAGAGTTAGGGCATACTCACACTAGGACTTTTTCAAAAGAATCTGTGCATTGTCACAACCAGAATCTGTCAAATAAGTCCTAGTATGTGCGATGTTGTGTCTGTAAACTCTGTACTGCCAGGAGTTACACTATCTGCAGAGCCGTTGAACACAGTAGGACCATCATCAAAGGCTTTGGCTGAAAGGGTATCAGTTCTGCAGTGATGCAGAGTATGAACAATCTGCAGGGAGAGGGCCGATGGCGGACTTCCATTATGAGCAGAAAATCCCTGCTTTTATTATGTGTCACCCTGCTCACATGAGGGTGTGACCTTGTGCCTTTATTTATCCTCTTGTTCTTTTTTTTCAAACCACCAGTACCTCTCCCAGACACCTGCAAGAATGTGCTCGTTAATATGGTGCTACAGTAAAGCCTCCGATAGGCACTTGCTCACAATGGCTCAGTATTTTTGGGACTGTATCATCCTGATTGAAAAAAAAAAAAAAGGATCCTACGCCCCTGGGCCAGGCAGGCTGGTAGCCTAGGGCGAACAAAATTTTCCTCCTCGAGTGATATGGAACGATGCATGGCCAAAAGTTAGGGCACAATGTAGTGGTGTTGAAGGAGCTCCTTATTGTGCTCCGAAGCGTCATAGAGGGGGTAGATGATGGGGTACACTTTGCTCCCGTCACAGTATACCACAGCACATTACCAAAACCATTACCAAAAAACAGGGATTGACGGCCAGGTTCCCTGAGGCCTACCAGATGCAATACCTTGGTGGCCTCGTAGCACCAGGACAGGGATTGAAGCCCAATATTTAGTTGAACCATGTTAATCCATGGCAGAACAACAAAGGAGCCTCATTCACATCCGTTTCTCTTTCCCTCAAACCGCTGATCTTTTGTTTTCAATTACCTAAGCCAGTACACAGCAGTGGGTGCTGATCGGATCAGCCTACTCGGACCTGCAAAGTCCACTGCGTCCTGCAGGCCCAACGATGCACGAATTCAGCAAGTCAGAGTTGGGTGCTACAGGTTCTGCGACGTAGCGTCACGGAGAGTGGTGGTTTGAACCTTGGTTATCTCCCGACCTGACATGCTGAACCTAGCATATTGTTGCTATGTCGGGATCCAACCGGCATTTCGGCATCGGAGAGAAGAGGTTATGTTGGCGGCCCTTTTATGTGTTGTTTCATAGGGCCTCTGGAGTCCATTCACGGGCTATCCGCCAGACCTCGCCGAGCCTCTTTCCGGCTTACCATGTCACGAGGAGAGCAACACGGAGGCCCTCCAAGGTAGTGCTGTTTGAAGTGAGTCGTAATAACTGGACTTCCATACCACTCGATGATGTGTCCTTAGCATAAGGATATGACTCTGGGGCTTTTGAACTTCGTGTCGAAATTATCATTCCTGCCCCTCAGCTACTTGACTCATTGAGTTCCAGGTCGGGGTCGACTGGGATAGAACTTACCACCAGTACCTCGACCATGTATCAGCTGTGGAAAAGAATAAAGTGGAAGCGTCTCGATTTGGATGAATTGGGTGCTCCAGTCCAGGCCCGTTCATCCGAACGCGTCAGGGCGCGTTACCCGCTGCGACTGTTGGAGGTACTGGTGGTTTTATAAGACCTCTTCCGCGTTGCTTCTTCATGCAAAAATAGAAAATAAACATGTCGGCGTGCATGCAGGCTGCTGATCATCAACTCCCCCCATCTGCCCCTTCGTCTCCCACTTCCCCCGTTTCGTTCTTTCCTTCCTCGCATCACTTCACCTTCTTCCTTGTCCCTTCGCCACATTCCATTGGCTGCACGCGAACTGGTTGGATAGAGGTATGCGAGGGGTGGTAAGCCCTGCAGCTTGGCCGATCGTCCATCACCTCGTTTTTTGTAATTCCTCCCCCTACAATACCCCGACCTTCATCTGTCTTCCCCCACTGTCTGTGCTGTACCCTCGCTGTGTTGCACACAATACGACTCTTCTCCGCCTTTCTTTCTCTCTTTGCTCCTGGCTGCAAGATTGTGCAGACCGTGGCTTGTGCGTCCAGGCCCCAAGCAGGCACGTCGTGCCCAAAGGACCGATCAGCGTAACGGCACGGACTGGTAGATTGAGTCCGATACAGACCACACTGGAGGGTGGATCCGTGTGTAATGTTGACGAGTCATGGCCACAGGTGCCGCCATATCTTGCATGCTGGTGAAATGGCGGCAGTTGCTTCCTTGCTGTGTGCTCGTCCTTTGTGTCATTTGAATATTGGTTTGATATCCTTCCCTCCTTCCCTGATTTGTTTCTGTTTCAGCCTAAGTCTGTGGTTGCTTGGTTGCTTGGTTGCTTGACATGTTTCTCTCTCTCTCTCTCTCTCTCTCTCTCTCTCTCTCTCTCTCTCTCTCTCTCTCTC